TATATTATATATACTAATATATAATATATATATATATTTATATTATATATATTAAAATAAATATATATATATAATATATATGTATTATGTATTAATATTTTAGGGAGTTTCCACCTCTAAACTGTCCTAGGGACCCCCATCCTAGAGAAAAAAAAAACTTCTTCAGGGAAAACTCAAGGTTCTCCCTGAAGCTGTTTGAGAATTTTCTCCTACCATCACCTATATTTCAAGTATGTTTTATTTAAAGACAAAATACATTGGCCAAACATTCACAAAAATACAGCAGAAAGTAAAGCAACATAGGTAACTCAGAGCTATATCTCGAATACTTCGTCCAGCTCCCCTGCGGTGGGCCGTGTGCCCAGAATGCTGCAGGCATTTCCTCTCTGGATCGCAATACTGAGTCTCTGAAAGAGGAAGCTGGTCGCCCTGTGGTCCTTGGTTTCTATGATCAGCTTTTTACCCAGCTCTTTGAGGAATTTTAGAGCACACTTGCCCCATGCTCCAAGGGTCTCCGACCATATTGGAATGAAGTTATAGCAAGGGAGAAGGTCTTCATATTTTCGGATCTTCTGGGTCTTCCTGTGGCTGGCAGCTCTACCCTCTTCCACTACGGAGTATGGCAGGTAGGTGTCTGCCAATGTGGCAGCACAGGTGTAGTCCCAGGCAATCTGCTTTCCATCCTTCCAAGGTAGCATAGTGGCTCAATCAGGACGCTTTTGACTTCCATCAGACCTCTGTATTTGGGGTTCCCGTTGAGCTGGGCAACGGGCTGTGGCGAGGTTTCTCTTTATGATGTCATTGACCTCCTCATGTCTGGCATACTTCCATTCTGCTGTGTGACACACGAGACCATGAAGTCCGAATTGATCAGCTGTCGCCCTGCCGCAAATACACCTATGTTCGGTGAGGATGGCGGCGGCTAGGCGAAGAGCAACACCAATCCGAATGGCCTGTGGGTCGAGACGGGTGCCCAGGGAGGAATTGGGAAGAGCTAACAGGAAATCTCTTGAGTGTGGTGCCTTCACTGCCAGGAGACGAGCTTTGTCCTTTCCTGAAGCATTGGAGAGCATTGTGTTGGCGATTATATATATATATATATATATATTATATATATATATATATATATATATATATTATATATATATATATATATATATATATATATATATATATTTATATATATTATATATATATATATATATATATATATACATATATATATATATATATATATATATATATATATATATATATATATATATATATATATATATATATATATATATATATATATATATATTATATATATGTCGTGCCGAATATGTAAAACTGGTCAATTAGCAAAAACTCATTTAAAATTAAGTCCTTTCTAAAATTTTCTCTTATACGTTTAAAGATATATTTTTTTTTCATTAATGTTAATGTAAAAATATTTAATTTTGCTCCAAAAGAATCTTAGAAAACTTACTTAACCTTATTTTAACAAGAACAATTTATTTTAACCTAACCCAACTAAATATATTTTTGATTTGTTTACAATAATTTAATACTAAACAAACAGAGTGAAATATATTTTTTTCGTTAGGTTCAGAATGATTTTGGCGAAATTATTGCACACACAAATTTTCGCTTGTCCTATATGGCAAGATGAGCGTTGCTATTTAAGCCAAGATCGCAAGTTCTGCCTACTTGGTGCTGGTCTGCATATATATATAATATATATATATATATATATATATATATATATATATATATATATATATATATATATATATATATATATATATATATATATATATATATATATATAATATATATATATATGTATATATATATGCAGACCAGCATTTTGTCTCCTCTTCACTTGATTAATGGACACCACACCCCAGTGTCCTCTCTGTGGCTGTCACCTCGGAGGAGAGCTGGTCATTACAGCAACAAGAGGGATCCACCTTCCACGACGTGTCCTCGTAACTAACCCAGAAGGTGATTGTGTAATCTGGTAGGGACGTCGTGGGACGGCGAGGGGACGGAAGAGGGAAGCACGTAGGAGGGAATCATGGATGAAAGTACATGGGAGGGGAGAGAGGAGGGGAGTACATGGGAGGGGAGAGAGGAGGGGAGTACATGGAAGGGGAGAGAGGAGGGGAGTACATGGGAGGGGAGAGAGGAGGGGAGTACATGGGAGGGGAGAGAGAGGGGAGTACAAAGGGAGGGAGAGAGGAGGGGAGTACATGGAAGGGGAGAGAGGGGGGAGTACATGGGGGGGGAGAGAGGAGGGGAGTACATGGGAGGGGAGAGAGGAGGGGAGTACATGGGAGGGGAGAGAGGGAGGGGGGGTACATGGGAGGGAGAGAGGAGGGGGAGTAAAATGGGAGGGGAGAGAGGAGGGGAGTACATGGGAGGGAGAGAGGAGGGGGAGTACATGGGAGGGGAGAGAGGAGGGGAGAAGGGGAGGGAGGAGGAGGGGGACATGGGGGGGAGAGAGGAGGGGGGAAGAAGGGGGGGGAAGAGAGAGGAGGGGAGTACATGGAGAGGAGAGAGGAGGGGAGTACTGGGGGAGAAGAGGAGGGGATACATGGGAGGAGAGAGAGGGGGAGTACATGGGAGGGGAGAGAGGAGGGGAGTACATGGGAGGAGAGAGAGGAGGGGAGTACATGGGAGGAGAGAGAGGAGGGGACATGGGGGGGAGAGAGGAGGGGAGTACATGGGAGGGGAAAGAGGAGGGGAGTACATGGGAGGGGAGAGAGAGGGGGGAGTACTGGAGGGGGGGGGGTCTTGGGGGGAAAGGGGGGGAGTCGGGGAAAGGGTGTTACTGGAAGATCTTGGGGGGAAAAAGGGTCTTGGGGGAGGGGGCCATGGGGGTTGGGGGGGTTTGTACAGGGGGGGGGGAAAAGTCTGGAAAAATCTTTGGGCCCCCCCTTTTTTCTTGGGGGTGGGGGGAATCTGGGGCTAAATCCCTGGGGGGGGGGTTTTTGTTTGGGGGTTTTTTTTTGGGGAAAGGGTCCTGGGGTTAAATGTGGGGGGGGGGGGGTTCGGGAGGGAAATTTTTTTTTGAAGTTTTTCGGGGGGAAAAGGGGTTTCTAATAAATTTTTCCTGGGGGAATTTGGGTTAATTTATACATGGGGGGCCAAAAAAAGGGGTTTTTGGACTTTTTTGGAATACTTTTTTGGGGGGGAATTCTTTTTTTTGGGGAAATTTTTAGGGGGGTACCCATTTTTTTTTAATTTCGGGGGGGGGTTACTTTTTTGGGGTTTTTTCCATCTAAAGGGGGGGGGTTTTTCTGGGGGGAAGTTAATTTTTTTTAAGGGAGGGGGTACTAAAATTTTTAGGGAGGAAGGGATTTTCAATTTTTTTTCTAAAAGGGGGGATTTTTGGGGGGGAAAAAGGGGGTTTTTTTTGTTTTCCCCTTCTAAAGGGGGTTTTATAGGGGGGGTTTTCTTTTAATTCATGGATGGGGGGCCCGTTAAAAGGGGGGGTCTAAAAATCTTAAAAGGGGGTCTTTTTTGAAAGGTTTTCGGGTTTTTGGGGGGGGAATTTCTAAGGGGGGGGTACTTTTTTTTAAAAATTTTTTTTTAATCCCTTCTTTTTAAAGGGTTCATTGGGGGACCAAAGGGGGTTCTAATTTTTGGGTTTTTTTCCCCAGGGGGTACTTTTTTTTCTTTTTAAATCCATAGGGGGCCCCGTTCATTTTTTTGGGGGGAATCATAATCGGGGGGGGGAAAATTTTTTGGGGAAATTCTAAAGGGATACATGGACATTTTTTTTAATCTGGGGGGAAGGGGTTTCGGGGGAATAAGTTGGTTTTTCCCGGGAGGGGGTTTTTTTAGGGCCCCCCCCAAAAACAGCAAAAAAAGGATACTTGGAATGAAAACAAAAAAATTTTATATTCACATTAACCCCAGTGTCATCCTTTGTTTGTGTCGACCACCCCGACCAACCCGACCTTAACTGTCCCTTTAGTTTTTCGCCTCTATTGTTTCTTGTGCTGCTGGATGCAGTGATAAGCAAGACGATACTAGAACTCAAGTACTCTACAGGTTCTCAGACGATTTAGATAAAACGGGAACAGTCGACTTTTGCGCTGAAGCTGACTGACTAAAAGTCAACAGGAACATTTCCATTGTCAAGGACAGCATTAAAGAATGTCGAATTTTTATTACTTTATTTCGAGAGGAAGGTCTAAGCCCTTGTGGATGATAGAGGCACACAGTGCAGGACTCTTAGACTGGCTCCATCGGATCACTTCAGACTTTGAATAGCTCTTCTTGGATGTGTCTCATTTGTCCAGTATAATAAAGGCTTAAGCAAGATCTCCTGATATTCAGTTTCTAATGAAGAACTCTGTTTAGTACGTTAAAACTTTCTTCATGAAGTCAAATTTCTTAATGACAATACGAGCTGCTGCTGCGGTCCTTCACTGCACATTCTCTACACTCCAGTTAATGTTCATCATTTACAGAATCTGGGAAATAACACTGCATACATTATAATCACAGTGAACTCTAACACGTTCCTTATAAACTATCATTTTCTTTTAACACATCGGCCGCTTCCCACAGAGGTATGGTGACCCGGAAAAAAAGAAGAAACACCTTTCATCATCAGTCACTCCATCATTATTGTCTGTAATGCTTTTCTAGTCGAAATTTCTTGTTACCAAACCTCGCTTTTTATTTTTAGCTTGCAGCTAGACTTGGTTTACTTGACCGAACGCTATTGCTAAAAGGTTCTTTTCTACCTTCGGTAATTACCTTCGGTAGTTTTATATTGGTGTTTAAGTGCATTACTCTACACTAATTTACTTTGAAGTTTATTTTCCACGTCTCCGGCAATCGCGCCAACTTATGCAGGTCCCGATCAACACTAGTCTTTAGTCTTTCCCTCTCACAGCTATGCTGACGGTGTTCTCTCCCTCCCACCTGACTGCTTATGGTGACCATGACTGCCCTCTCCCCCACAGGTTTACTGACGGTTTCTTCCTCCCCCCTAACAGGTCTGCTGATGGTTTCTGCGTGCGGGGGACCTGAGGACGTGGAGGCAGCCTACCCACTGACAGGAGTGACGGAACTGACACCCATCTCCTACACCAGCTTGACGGGGGCGCTGCTGAACCACGACGACGAAGACGACGAAGCAGAGATAGTCGAGGACGAGGAGGGCAATGAGGACGAGGACGAGGAAGAGCCTTACTTTGACGCCTCAATGTCTCCGACTTACACAGCCTACCTGGGCAAAACAGCCACACTCACCTGTATAGTCCACGCTGCCAAGAGTGACAAGTCGGTAAGGAAAGGGGAGAGAGGAGAGAGAGAGAGAGAGGGGGGAGGAGAGATGAGGGAGGAAAGAGAGGGGGAGCGAGAGAGAGAGAGAGAGAGAGAAGAGAGAGAGAGAGAGAGAGAGAGAGAGAGATTCTGGTCTTAGAGATGAAATGTGGAAAGGTGGGTATTAAACATATTTCCCAATAGTGAATCGCAACAATATCGAATAAGTTCATCGTTAATTACGCTGGATCAGTTCACTTTAACACAACACGAAAAGATTTCATGTGAGCGGAGATTAATTCGACATTGAGTCACTGGTGCGGAGATTTTCAAGAGATAAAGAATCGGACATCTGTCATTTAAGCAACGCCTGCAATACCACAGAGATGTGGCGTTTCTGTTTCGTACAAAGCCAGGCTTTGTACAAAACCATGTCAGGTCCGTGGACAGCCAGAAGACAGTTTTTATAACACAAGACGGGCAGCCATTGGTATTTGCGTTCTGGTTTAACTTTTCCTTAAATAGATGTGAATCATCTATTATTTATTCCTTACTTCAGCTGCTCTTGGAAACATGTTATCACGACCTGGATGCATCATTGACTGATGCTGTATGGCAGCCTTCTACGCTGGCGACTTTGGTTCGAATCCTGCAGTGCTCTTTGGCAGAGTTTTTATATTTATGGTTTTTGTGAGAATCAGTGTGTACACACAGAGTAGTGTGAAATATATACTGTGTTGCTAGAACACCTGGGTGACGAGTTTTCTTCCACCACGTACAGAGTACTCTGTGCCTGCCATAATCTACCATAACACTGTACGTGAAAATAAGTTTCCGAGTTGCTTTTTTTTTGCGTTAGCGAAAAAAAAAATCTTAAATAATAGTAACCCATTTCCAAATATATTGTCTACAACATAAAGCTCTTACCTTACTGGGGTGCAAACTACGGTCCAGTATTTCATCCTCCGAGTACAAGCACTCTGAGCTACAACGCTACAAAGGATGGACAGTATATTGCAAGTGATTTAAACCCTCTCCAGAGTGCATTAACGCCGGACTCCTGGCTATTTCATTACATCCCAGGAATTTAGGCAACCAGGGTGCCAGTATCACTAACTATATTATATAATGCACCGGGTGGCCTAAATATGTGCCTGGCTATAAAATAACCATGACTCTGGCGAGGATGAGCGTAAAATACTGCTCGCTGCTTTTGAAGTGTGTTGGCTCAGAAAAGTTGCGTGTCTGCATACACTCCCGAAGAAACAAAGGTGCCTCCTAGTGCCCGAAGATACCTTTGAGTGTGGCAAGTCTTTGAAGAAAATTTATTCAGAAATCCCGTTTGACAATCCTGCGATGGACATGAGAGAATAGTGAGATATAAAATTAGGAATAATGCAATTAGCTTTCTTGGATTCTAATCACATGACCACACAAAAAAAGTATCCCATGAGGAAGGAAAGGAAAAAGAAGGAGCTGGAAATATTGATAATTAAGACTGTTATCACATGGAAACCAAGCTAAAAAATAAAGCTGTCTGACAGGAAATGAACGGTATACTGAACAGTCATGAAAAAATACGGTACTGAGTTGACAGGTATAGCCAGGCCTTCAAAAACAACTCCAGAAAATTCTTCCATGGTTGACTTAGCAACAAGGAGAGAAAATGTAGATTAAATTGGACTGGACAATGAAACAAATACTCAGACATAAATGTTATTATATCTAACAGAGGTTGAAAAAAAGAGCTGATTCCTCATGCTGTCAGTGATGGATTCAGCTCCTAACAAGCGTGAAGCAACAAAGTGACGGGGAAGACGAGCTCTTAAAAGCTCTCGGGATTTAAGCTCTTAGAACAGAAAAGAAAGTTAGCAAAGAATGAGGTGATAAAGCTGAATAACGTTGGAAATCGGCTCCAGGCAGTGATAGGGAAGTATACGAAGAGAACAATAGAAATTTTCACAGCCTTCTCACCACTGAAAAGAGGCCATTATTGGAAATAAAAACAAACTACGCAGAACTGGCAAACATCTGTACGGCGAGAAAGGAAGTAATGAGACTCCTGCAGGAACTCAATAACAACAACGAGACCAGACTAAACATCGTCATGGGTATTAGAAGGAGCTGAAGGTTCAAGAGAAAGCCTCTCCCTAAGATCTTCAATGAAACACTAAAGACAGAGGAACTGCCAGATACCCAGTGAATGACTATTGTAATCCCAGTATTAAAGAAGACTGACAGACAGAAGGCCTAGAGTTACAGACAAATATTTCTGGAAAATATAGCGAGGGAAGTGGAGAGGTTGATGAAGAAGAGACTAACCAAACACTTGGGTAATATGGATTTCCTCATAGACCACCTGCACAAATTTAGGAAGATAATCCCTGCCTACAGATTTAATATAGGTCGATGACACATTAATAGATATCAGACAGGAAAAAGATGAACTGGTGGACTGCGTATTCCTAGATCGTAAGAAATTCTTCCAGACATTACCAAGCCTAAAACTGCAACATGTACTAGAAAAGTAGGTTGGGAAATCTGGCAGAGACGATTAACTGTAAGACACTAATTGCAGAGGAGTCTTGACAGAGTATTTGATAAAGCCAATGTGTGGTGAAACGTTGTAAAACAAAGACTCCTCTGCGGTCTGCAGTCAGCGTTCCGCCATTTTTGTGAAAGGTGGATTAATGATTTGTTTAGAGCAGAAGACAAAACGTTACGGTCAGACACAAAATGTCAGGGTTGAAGAGTTTAACTAGTGGAGTCCCCTAGGAACCAAACTTAAGCCCTATACGGATCACAGTGTATGAAAACAGACTGGCGGGTGGGTTAGGATTCCTACTTAACAGTGATTGCAAACGATACCAGATCAGGATGATACGAAGAAAACTCGAGGAGACTTAGAGAGACTTGAGGAATGTTCAAACAGGTAGCTACTTAATTTGAACCCTAATACGTGAAATGCAATATAACTGGGACCAGGAGACAGGAGACCAGATGCAATATAACATATATGAAGGAAGCATCTTATGGACTCAGAGAGACCAAGGAGCTGACATTATGCCAAACCCGTCACCTGAAACACATACAAAACATTTAGCATGGTCTGCCGATGCTAGGTATGCAAACATAAACATTATGTTCACAAACCTGAACAGAGGGTCGTTCTGGACCATTATCAAGCCACGATTAGACAACAGTCGTAATGTGATTGCCCAGGAAATGTAATCAAAAGATTTATCTAAAATATGTTGATTAGTTGTGATTTTTTTCAGCAACGGTAGTGTGCTTTTTATTCCTCGACTTCTTTTCAGTATATATGCACGCCCATTCCTCGAGTACACAGAACCAGTGTGGTACTCTTAATTGGTCAAACAAAAAACGAGACACAAATTAACACGTACACACTTCAAGGCTGGTACCACAGCTGTTATAAAAAAAAATGCTGCAGGTAAAAGTCGCAACTCTGAAGGAGAGCAGATTACGAGGAGACACGACCATGATATAGAAGATTACCCAGAGAACAGACAGGAAGTGTGTGGCGGAGGAGGTCGCTTCCACTTATTACGAGATATTCAGATTTGTTTTACCTAAACACTTAATTTACTTTCTTCATCTGTGAACATGTAAGCATCCGTCTTTCTGTCTTCCTTCATTTTCTTCCTCTATTCCTTCTCTCTGCTGCTCCTTGGTATCGCCTCTCTCCAGCTCCTGGGCCGTTTTCTCACACCTGGAGGAGGACCTCCGCAACTTGATACAGCTGACATTTTAGCAAATGATGTTAATATTTAGAGCACAGCTTTTTATATGGTGGCTTGCATAAACTACTCCACAGGCTAACTACACCTCAGACTAACTCCACAGGCTAACTACACCTCAGACTAACTCCACAGGCTAACTACACCTCAGACTAACTACATCTCAGACTAACTACACCTCAGACTAACTCCACAGGCTAACTACACCTCAGACTAACTACACCTCAGACTAACTCCACAGGCTAACCACATCTCAGGCTAACTACACCTCAGACTAACTCCACAGGCTAACTACATCTCAGACTAACTACACCTCAGACTAACTACACCTCAGACTAACTACATCTCAGACTAATTACACCTCAGAATAACTACACAGGCTAACTACACCTCAGACTAACTACACCTCAGACTACACCTCAGACTAACTCCACAGGCTAACTACACCTCAGACTATTACACCTCAGACTAACTACACAGGCTAACTACACATAGACTAACTACACCTCAGACTAACTACACCTCAGACTAACTCCACAGACTAACTACACCTCAGACTAACTACACCTCAGACTAACTCCACAGGCTAACTACACCTCAGACTAACTACACCTCAGACTAACTCCACAGGCTAACTACACCTCAGACTAACTACACCTCAGACTAACTACACCTCAGACTAACTACACAGACTAACTACACCTCAGACTAACTACACATCAGACTAACCACACCCCAGACTAACTACACCTCAGACTAACTACACAGACTAACTACACCTCAGATTAACTACACCTCAGACTAACTACACCTCAGACTAACTACACCTCAGACTAAATACACCTCAGACTAACTACACCTCAGACTAACTCCACAGGCTAACTACACCTCAGACTAACTACACCTCAGACTAACTACACCCCAGACTAACTACACCTCAGACTAACTACACAGACTAACTACACCTCAGACTAACTACACCTCAGACTAATTACACCTCAGACTAACTACACCTCAGACTAACTACAGCTCAGACTAACTACACCTCAGACTAACTACACCTCAGACTAACTACACCTCAGACTAACTACACCTCAGACTAACTACACCTCAGACTAACTACACCTCAGACTTAACTACAACTAGACAAATACACCCGACTAATTACACCTCAGACTAACTACTACAGACTAACTAAACCTCAGACTAACTACACCTCAGACTAACTCCACAGGCTAACTACACCTCAGACAATCTACAC